ACTTTATCACCTATTCAGGTTGTAAATCGTGTTTTTAAAAAGTAACTAAGTAACTAAGTAATTAATTACTTTTGAAAATAAGTAATCAGTAAAGTACTTTTTGGGGGAAGTAATCAGTAATTAGTTACTGATTACTTTTTTCAAGTAACTTGACCAACACTGTTTGTACCTGCAGATCAGAACCACGCAGCTACAGATCTGCAGATATTTACATAAAGACACCAGGATGGAGGTCAGAGAGCAAAGCCCAAACTAAGGGGGAAGATGACCCAGTTCATGACATTAGAAGCTTATAAATAACAATGACAGAGGAGAGAAGGAACACATCACATCTCAGCAGGCCTAACAGTTTAGCAGCAAAACTGAGGGGCTGTTCAGGACGATCTGATCGAGCCCTGAGTGAACACAAGCTTTATGTTAAAAGTGTCTCCTGAAACCGAACTTTGAGGAACTCCAGGAAGCAAACAATCCTGCGCTGTAAGAACAAAGTGCTCCACTGGTATTTCAAAATATTCTAAATATTAGTTGTTCAAAGTAAGTATGATAAAGGACTAACCTTTGGTAATCGTGATGGGCATCAATGAGTCGAGTGCGGCTTACATAGTTTTTATGCTGACAATATCATAGAAACAGGGTTTTACAGGATGCATTAGCATCTAAGGATAATAAGCTCTGCTTCTGTTCATCGTCTTTTCCCGTTTCACAGTTTAAAGTAACGATGCCGGAGTTGAAAACTCAGAGTCTGAGCGTTTCAGTGTGGCACGACAGCAGCTTCGGACGCAACCAATTCCTGGGTGACGTGAACCTGAATCTGTTGGAGTGGGACTTCAGCAACACACAGATGAATGAATATGCATTAAAAACCAGGGTAAAGGCTTAATTATTAAGCATTATGTGAATATTGTCGCAGTTATTAGACGTTTACTCAGCGTAATCCTGCAGGTGTCAGCAGCAGCCTCGGCACCAGCTCCCTCGTGTCTCATCGACAGCAGAGCACAGATGAGAGTCGCTCTGAGGTTCCTGCCGCAGACATCCCTCAGTGAGGCTTTCCTTTTGATCAGCTCTCTCCCTTTATGTTCATCATTTATATTACTTATTGTGGTCTTATTGCACGCACAGGTAGAACGTCTACGATGGAAAGCGCTGAGGTGCAGATTTGGGTGAAAGACTGCAAGAATCTTCCGCCGGTTCGAGGCCTCATTATCGACCCATTTGTGAAATGGTAGGAAACAGTTCACTGTGTGCTGAGATCCAAAGTCTGAACCGTGAAATAACAAAACCAAAATAAACCGTATTTTCTTGTTTAATTATGTTATTTCAATCAAACTGGTTTATTTCAAATAGTTTCTCCATTTAATTTCAGTTCAGTTCAGTTTCAGTTATACAGCACCAAACCACAGCAACCTTAAGGTGCTTTATGTTGTAAGGTAGACCCGACAATAAAACGTTAATAAAAATACAATCGCGACAGAGTGGAGACAGATGTGTGATTGGTTGCAGTTGGAGTCCTGAAGCAGCAGCTAATTATAAAAGTGACATAAACAGTCACAAAGAGCAAAGTGTTAAAGTGAGAACGCCTGCTTCCTGTAAAATTATCACACAATTAACTGATTATTTGTTTTACGTTAAGTGAACATCATCTAGTTTTGGACTAATGACCTTACAAAAGCAATTATTTGAAAACATCACTGATCCATTGCAGTGCACCCGTCATCTGAAATGAGAATTCTCAATAGCTTAAAGATCAATCATCTCTAATGAAAGAATCATGAGTCCGTAATAAATTCAAAAACTGGGTCACAGACCCAGGATTGTGACTTATTTATTAGTTACCATGTCTTATTTATTGATTTCATTATGATTACTTTGCACAAGTGTTTCAGTGCGCTCCTTCCAAATGAATTGTTTCTACCTCTGCCTGTCCTGCTGCTGTAGTGCTCTACGTCCTGATACAAGCCGGAGGAGCCGACAGAGAACCCGCGTAGTGACAAGGACAGCCAATCCCATGTTTAACCACACCATGGTGTATGACGGCGTCCGACCAGAGGATCTCAGGGAGGTCTGCGTTGAGCTCACAGTGTGGGATCATGGCCGACTCGACAATCACTACATCGGAGGTCTGAGGCTTGGCCTGGGAACAGGTGACAGTTTGCTCCATCGTCAGACTATCAAGTACAAATGTGAGCTATGCAAACTCTTTTCCACCTGGTACTGAACCTGGCCTCCACTTCTCCACCCAGTACAGTCTCAATCCGATTATTAAGTGATGACGTGACGAATCCTACTTCCGGGCCTAAAGTAGTCTGCGTTTAATATG